CTTTAATACTATATTTAATCATAATAGCCACATCGAAACTGCGATAACGATACTCTTAATTTCCTTATGCTTACGACTGTTAAATACTTTTCAAACATAAAATGTTGTTTAAACAATGAATACGATTATGAACATTTTCCAGTTTGAATATTTCTGGTCCACTCTTGCTGGAAGCAATCCTTACATCGTTGTAAAACAATTGATAAAAACGAAGTAGCATCCACAACTCCCTGGCCGACCCATGCATATCCAAGACCAAGTTGGAGCACTGTCTTTTTGATTAACATAGCCCAGTTGTGCTTATTTCTAGCCTCACTAGCATTTTCAACCCAATACAGTAGCATCTTATAGGCTTTTAAGGGGTAGCGATGAGGCCGATTAAGATGACTTTCAACCAATATAAGATAGAACGTTTCAGTGCCAAGATATAGATTGGGTATCTTCGGCATTCACCTAATACAAAATCACTGGATGTTGATCTGCGGATGCCCAGAACACAACGTTTACAAGCTTGCAACTGAATTTTGTCAATGCTTTTAAATCTTTGAATACCCCATACCTCAGAACCATATAATAGAATTGACAGGATTTTAGTGTCAAAGATTTTAAAATATAGTTCATATGAGAGATTTTCAAACTTAAACAAGCTACACTGAACGGTTATAAGAGCCTTCTTAGCTTTAAGAGTCAGATTGTTTATGGATGCCTGCCAAGTGAGATTTCTAGTAAATAGCAAGCCAAGGTATCTGTATGATGATAAAACTTTAATTGGAGCAAGTTTGTAGGTCCACTTTTCCGTTCTAGCAAGTCAGCCCCCATGTTTAAATACAACAATACTTGTCTTGTTTAAATTTACTTATAGACTCCATGTTTCGCAGTAATTATCTAAAATATCAATTTGTTTTTGGAGTCCAATTACCTTATCAGAAAACAGAACAACGTCAATAACCTCTGAGCCCACGCTTCTTCGCTCGGAGCTTGAGTTGTTTCACCGTGGGTCGTTGTTGGTCATCGACGATGTCCAGCAATCTCAGCAGCTGAGGTTTCTTCAAATGGGAGGAGTAACCGATCACTCCACGTTCTTCAGCAATCCCTTCAGTTCTCGAACAGTGAGCATTTTTGCTATATCCATATGCGAAGGAAAATCTCTAACAGGTTTGATTTTCGCTATATTCAGATGCAAAGTCAAATCTCTAATAGGATTTTCGCTATATTCAGGTGCGAAGTCAAATCTCTAATAGGTTTTCGCTATAGTCAGGTGCAAAGTCAAATATCTAATTGGGTGTTTGCTACATGGGAGGTAACTCCGTCAGCCTTATCGCTGACGAGGTTTTGAAGTATTGAAGCGCACGTAAAATTCTATTTTTTAACTTTTTATTCTGAGCAGTCGGTTGCGTTCGTTGAGATAGTCTCTTTTCGTCAAGTAGATGAGACGGCCTCGTACCACGTCCGCTCCGTGGGCTTTGGAACGGCGATAATGGCATTTCAAGCCAACACCGCACATTTCTCCTGTATTTCACGAAACCCTTTCGTATGGACATCATGTGTATGCCGCAAAATTTCAGTGGTGCATTTCCTGCCGCAGGTTTCGGTTTTTCTGAGCAGCACGTACTTGCAGTTATATGGCACACGTCTTCCCATCTTTATGTATATGCACTTAAATATATTTTTATTCTAATATTTTGGCGATCAACACGGGAACGGCTAGGCCCAGTGCCACAACGATCAGTTCCCGGTCTTTCTGTTCCAGGGAAGTTGTGTAATATGCGAGAGAGTGGGTTCGTCGCCAAGCGGTTCGAGTCGTTTGCATTTGGGCAGGTAGTATTCTCGCATGGCGTCGTCAACGTTCTTGAACGTTCTCAGGGTGTGGTTTTCGTGCGCGAGTTGGTCGTTAATGAAATCTGTTCTCTATTTTGACGTTCTCGGCTTGAGCAGCCTGCAGTTTCTCCACGGGCATATCGTGACGTTTACGTTCCGCTTCGATTTCGACTGCATTGGACGTTTGTAATTGGGAAAAAAGATAATTGCTGCCGGAAAATGCGAGGGCATTGACTAATGCCCCGCCGACCATCATTGCTATCGTTGCCATCTTTTAATGTTATAACGATATTTTTTTTATTATTTCAATATGTTTTCCGGAATGATCCCTTGCTTGAAGAGCATGGAGAGTGTAGGTGTCTTATTGACATGTCTCTAGCATGGCAGATGTAGGTGTCCTTTAGACGGGTCACTAACATGGCAGATGTAGGTGTCTTATTGATATGTCTCTAGCATGACAGGTGCAGGTGTTCTTTTGACGGGTCTCTAACATGGCAGATATAGGTGTATTATTGATATGTCTCGAACATGGCAGGTGTAGGTGTCTTATTGACATGTCTCTAACATGGCAGATGTAGGTGTCTTATTGATATGTCTCTAGCATGGCAGGTGTAGGTGTCTTATGGACGTGTCTCTAGCATGGCAGGTGTAGATGTCTTATTGACGTGTCTCTAGCATGGCAGGTGTAGGTGTCTTATTGACATGTCTCTAGCATGGCAGATGTAGGTGTCTTATTGACATGTCTCTAGCATAGAGAGTGTAGTTATATTATTGACATGACTCTAGCATAGAGAGTGTAGTTATATTATTGACATGTCTCTAGCATGACAGATGTAGGTGTCTTATTGATATGTCTCCAGCATGACAGGTGTGTAGGTGTCTTATTGACGTGTCTCTAGAATGGCAGATGTAGGTGTCTTATTGACGTGTCTCTAGCATAGAGAGTGTAGTTATATTATTGACATGTCTCTAGCATGGCAGGTGTACCTGTCTTATTGACGTGTCTCTAGCATGGCAAGCGCAGGCGTCTTATTGACATGTCTCTAGCATAGAGAGTGTACTTATATTTTGGACATGTCTCTAGCATGGCAGATGTAGGTGTTTTATTGATATGTCTCTAGCATGGCAGATGTAGGTGTCTTATTGACATGTCTCTAGCATGGCAGAAGTAGGTGTCTTATTGACTTGTCTCTAGCATGGCAGAAGTAGGTGTCTTATTGACATGTCTCTAGCATGGCAGATGTAGGTGTCTTATTGACATGTCTCTAGCATGGCAGAAGTAGGTGTCTTATTGACATGTCTCTAGCATGGCAGAAGTAGGTGTCTTATTGACTTGTCTCTAGCATGGCAGAAGTAGGTGTTTTATTGATATGTCTCTAGCATGGCAGATGTAGGTGTCTTATTGACATGTCTCTAGCATGACAGAAGTAGGTGTCTTATTGACATGTCTCTAGCATGGCAGATGTAGGTGTCTTATTGACATGTCTCCAGCATGGCAGATGTAGGTGTCTTTTTGATACATCTCTAGTATGGCAGGTGGCAGCTTACCTCTGTCACAACGACTGAATGTATTTTACACACATATCTCTGTTATGTCGAGTGTATGCACCTTATTGAATATCTCTATCATGACGGGCGTATGCACCTTATTGAACTATCTCTATCATGACGGGTGTATGCATCTTATTGACCTATCTCTATCATGACGGGTGTATACATCTTCCGGACCTATCTCTGTCATGACGGGTGTATGCACCTTATTGACTATCTCTATCATGACGGGCGTATGCACCTTATTGAACTATCTCTATCATGACGGGTGTATGCATCGTATTGACTATCTCTATCATGACGGGTGTGGCACCTTATTGACCAATCTCTATCATGACGGGTGTGGCACCTTATTGACCTATCTCTATCATGACGGGTGTATGCATCTTATTGACCAATCTCTATCATGACGGGTGTATGCATCTTATTGACCTATCTCTATCATGACGGGAGTATGCATCTTATTGACCTATCTCTATCATGACGGGTGTATGCATCTTATTGACCTATCTCTATCATGACGGGTGTATGCATCTTATTGACCTATCTCTATCATGACGGGTGTATGCATCTTATTGACCTATCTCTATCATGACGGGTGTATGCATCTTAGTGACCTATCTCTATCATGACGGGTGTATGCATCTTACTGACCTATCTCTATCATGACGGGTGTATGCATCTTATTGACCTATCTCTATCATGACGGGTGTATGCATCTTACTGACCTATCTCTGTCATGACGAGCGTTTGTGTAATTATCATGGACATGTCTCTGTACTGACGAATGTATGCATCAGATAAACATATCTGTGATGTTGAGTGTGAATATTGCAACGAGTTTGACATATCTCAGTGTTTGGGAACCTGGCATCAGGTAATATCTTTGTCGTCGATGTACGTGTATTGTTCTGGATATCTCTCGAAAAGAAGATGTATGAATCATAATGACATTTCCCTCGTGTTGTAAACACATGTATCTTACGCACAAATCTGTAATGAAAAGAGGAGCCTAACAGTTGACACTATTTGTATTTTCAGTAATTTCTGGAACATGTTTTTCTCCAAATGAGAGACAGGCCGGTAATGTATATGCTGTTTATGCAAGCTCATGCCTCTTGGCATATTGAGACTTTGTACTCATCTAACATGATGGAGTAACATCTAGCCCATTGCGTGAGTGAGTATGGGTTTACGTCGCTTTTAGCAGTAGGGGCGGTAGAGTAGCCCATTGGTTAAGGCATTCGCTCGTCACATCGAGGACCTGGGTTCCATTCCCCACATGGGCACAATGTGTGAAGCCTAATTCTGGTGTCCCCCGCCGTGATATTACTGGAATATTGCTCAAAGCGGCGTAAAACGAAACTCACTCACTCACTTTTAGCAATATTCAATCAATATCACGACGGGGGACACCAGAAATGGGCTTCACATATTATACCCATGAGGAGAATCGAACCCGGGTCTCCGGCGTGATGAGCGAAACTACTAGGCTTCCCCACCGACCCCAAGCCCAGTGAGGCTCAAGGTAGGAATCAGGTCCCTAGAAACCTATGCTCGTCGTGGAATGCACCTAAATCGATCGGATAGTAAGGCTTTTTGCGGGTTAACGCTAAAGATTATGTCAGTTGCGTTTATCTGTAATTATGATGGCAAACCCTGGATTTATTTGGTTCAACCTTGGTTATTTACATGCAACCATCATTTGATTGGGAAAATGCGTGGCGTTAATTAACTCGTGTATATTTTCAACGGTAAGTTGATATGGCGAGTGCAGCCAAGAACATCGACGGAGGCTGGGCTCGGGTCATCCTGACATGTGGCTTCTTCTGCATGTTTTTGAATGGATTCATGTGCTATTCCGTGGGCGTTATCGCCGAAGCGTTGCTGGAAGAGTTTGACGGCGACCTTGCTAGCACTGCTGCAGTTGGAACGTCTATTATCGGCATCGAACATTTGTTAGGTGAGTTCAACCAGTGAGTGAGTTAGTATTTAGCGTCACATCGGCAATATCTCAGCCATATCGTGAAGAAAACAATTTATACAATAAAAATGTAAACATTTTGAAAAGTAAAATCTGTCGACGATGGACAGTAAAAATACTCGAGTATCACAGATATGAATATAAAACTAGCATGTAAATCTGAAACATTTTCATTGAAGAAGACAATACAATAGAAAACACGGGCTATAGATCGCCAACAACTGAAGGTAGAGCACCATACTAGGAACCATGGGGACTTACATTACTTTTGCTACCTGCATGGACTCCAGTTGACCCATAAAATGAGTGTAAAAAGATCAATGATTCTTGTGTAAAAAAATAAACGTTCTTGTAAAGTACGTTATGATCACTTAGACTAAACTCAAATAATTGTTTTCACTCCGTAAATGTGGTTTTCATCAGTGTATTTATGAAGTTAATAGTGTGCTGCATGAAAACTGGAGACATGGTTATGACATACTAAAACGAGGGAGTGACGGAGTTCATATTTAACGTCACATCGGCAATGTTTCAGCCATATCGTGACGAGAACAAATTTGCGTTGATAAAGAATATGTGCATGTTATGAAATCTGTCGTCAAAGGACATTAAAACAACTATACTATCACAGTGAAAATTAAAACTAGCATGTAAAGTTAAAACCAATCCTTGTAGCTTAATAGAACTGTAAGTTCACACATCATAATACTATTTCCTTTATAATATGTACTGTTGAATTCATTAAAAACATAGATAATGACTTTTTAGTTCAGTCTGGAGACATTAACGTACATTACTAAATCAGTAATATCCTCCCTTTGCGCTTTTGAAGTTTCCACATAAAAGCTTGCGTTCAACCAAGCAAATACAATTGTCAGATCCATGAAATGAATATACATTCAATTATATTTTCGCATGATATACCCTTTTAATATTCTTCCCGGTACATGTCGCATTAAAGACTTGAAGCAAAATGCAATAAATGTCAGAAGCCTTAGTGGGTCTTGCAGTATCAAAACCAAACCAAACATAGGCTCCGTAAATGAGTGGGGAGTTGAACTCGAACCTCGACGTGAGGCGCGATGGCTTTAACCACTTGGCTAACCAACAACTCTGAATAAATATCCACATCTACATGACATACCTCGACACAAAACCGTTCTGCTAACAACGTCCTGTGTGCTTTAGTATGGTTTTACACCGCTTTAATCAATATTCCAGCAATATCACGGCGGGGGACACAAGAAATGGGCTTCACACAACGTCAAATATCTGCTTATCAACGGAGAAATTGATTGTCCAAGTTTACGAGCTGTAATAATACTAAACTTTTACTTAAACAAGATATTTGCTTGATGATATGTACGCCTTGGTGCGTACACATCCCAAATCAATGTATGGTGCGCCCGAACTGACAAAATAAGGATGCAAACATAATTATGATTTGAATATAAATGACTATTTGGGGTTTTAGACATGTTGCGATGCTTTCTTTCATGTGTATATTATGAAAAAAAACGATGCACGCTGCATACCAACGGCGTGAAGCACTTCAGTAATGCACTGACATTCTCTGGATCATAATTAGTGCAAAAGGTGAGAATCGAACTAACCAACTAGGGATCTTGTGTTGGTTGCACAGGCATAGGTTCGATGAGATAGTCACTTGTAACTATTTCAGATCGAACTGGCTACAACACTGCATATTCGTTCACATAATGCCTTTAAGTACCTGTAATAATGCATAATTATACATTGGTACAGATAAGCTGCGTTTCTGCGTAAATTATGCAAATACAAGTATTTATGTGAAAGCTCAATTCCTGTTAGGTCTGTTGCGTACAAGTACGCTTGAACTTTTGTAAATACTCAATACTCATCTTACATGCGTACACACAAAACTGTCAAATATTAGCATTGAGGTTACAGAGGATAGATCAAATAATGAGAGCTTCTATTTCGCAGATGAACTTGGCAACTCTCTGTCTTTCTTATCGTTTCTCATCTTACAGATCAAATATAAATAACAAACCCATAAACCAAAATTTAAACTTTATTATATTTTTATGATTAATGGAAAATGGAAAATACCCAACTGAGTTTGAGTGAGGTGGGTACAATTTATTTTTTTACTCAAAGGAAAATTAGGAAACCCAATTGAGATGAACACAAGGGAGTACGTAACTCAATGACTCTAAACGTTATCTGCAGCTCTGTTATATTTATAAGGTTTTAATTTTCCAGGTCCTTTCATTGGCATTGGTATTAACATAGTGGGATGTCGCTGTTGTACGATATTTGGAGGTGTCGTTGCAATGCTTGGACTGGTAGGTGCATCGATGTCAAAGCATCTATCGACCATGATGGGAACCTTTGGAATTTTGAGTGGTAGGTTTCTTTTGTCTTTCGAAATCCTTTCGGGTTAGATCGCCAGCAAGAAGTGTTATTTATTCATTTTTTTTATTTCAACATTAAAAACAAAATCCCCTGCTTTTATTGTTGGTTCAGTTTTATTTAGGATTCATTGGAACATCATAATTATCGGTTAGATGCTGAAGGATGAAAAAAAACACACAAAAAGTAGCCAGTAGGTTTGGGTTTTTTTCATTTCAACATTCAAACAAAATCATGTGCTAATATTATTAGTAAATATCGAATTCATTGGAAAATCAGACTTATCTTCTTACTGCTGGAGGATAAAAGAAGAATTTTTTTTTTAAAAGTGGCCAGTTAGTCTGTGGTTATAGGTTTCATTTTTTTGACCAATTGCTCTAAATGTTAATTAAAACTAAGAATTCTAATAATAATCGGAGATGTGGAATTGATATGTGACGCTTTAGAATCTCCTCAAATTCTTCTTCCTTTTCTTGATTCCTGTACCAACTACAGCATAAGTATGTGTTTATTAATCACTATCAAATAGTGACGATACCGTGTTTACGCTGACAGGTGGCGCCTCCTATCCCTCATATGTCATCCGTACAAAACACGTGCAAAGGCAAGGAAATATAGGGACTTGATAGGGATGAAGTCCAAAGAAATTCGTGTCATTGAATATGTCTCTTTACAAGACCCTGGCTTGATTTGGTGTATTACTTTAAAGCTGAATCTAGTGTTTTACTCTAGGTATCGGATATGGCTTTGGATTTCTGCCAGGGAATGTGATGGTCGGTTTGTACTTTAAAAAACTGCGTCCCGTAGCAGCTGGTATTACAATGGCTGGAGCTGGTCTTGGAATGTTTGTTGGTTCTCCTATCATTCGCTTCCTCATTGACGAGTACGGTCTTCACGGTGCTTTTCTTGTCATCGGAGGGATTGCCTTCCATTTCTGTGTGTTCGGTTCTTTAATGAGACCCTTGGAAAATGACAGCAAATCCAAATCAGCAAGCAGTCAACTTTCAGAAACTCATCCACGTGCGCTTCTTGTGACAAGAATGTGGATGAAGACGAAGGAAAGGATGGGTGGGAGATGCTCTTCCAGGGTGTGGAAGAACTATGGCTTTTTGTTATACGTCCTCAGCATCTTTGGGTGGAGTTGTGCACAGTCAGCATGTTTGTTGCATCTTCCAAACTATTGTATACAACAGGGTTCATCAAAACAAGAGGCCGCTTTCTTGTTTACAATTATGGGTATATTCAACGTATTGTCCAGGCTTTTCACGGGACTGGCGGCCAATGACGAACGCGTGAGTAGTCTCATTCTCCACATGGGACAAATGGGCGTGGCATCCATCTTTACATCACTCCTCCCGTTGTACTCTCACACGTATGCTGGGCAGATGGTGTATGCTACAGTAACGGGGATGTACATTGGGGGAGTAAATACACTATTGACGCCAATACTGTTTCTGCTGCTCGATCAAGAGGATCTTGCACTGGGATTCGGCATGGTATACTGCACTGCTGGAATCGGATACATAACTGGACCTCCTGTTGCAGATAATGGCTATTTTGCGAGGAGCAACGTACAGAGAAAGCTATTTGTTTGCAGGCAAGTATATAGAGAATACTACACGAGGTCTCATTACATACGAATTATACGAAACGAGTGACCTTCCTATGGTATCTGACCGAACCAAAGCGAGGAAGGTTTCATTTCTATTTCTCGATAATGAACCTTTGAGAAAATTCGCAGTGTTTAGTATCTCATTTACATTACATTAATCCAGTAAAAGAGTGTTTTCTGCTATATATTTCCGGCACTAATATTTCCAAATCCTTTGTAAAAAAAAACCTTTTTACACGAATTTTGTATAAATTTGATTTGTTCAATTGACTTGACGAACGTGTAAGTGTATTGAATGATTGCATCTCTGACTAAACCTCAGTAAAACTTTCTTTCTTTTAGCATCTATGTTCCAGCTAGCTAGCATTCTGATCATGCTCATACCGCTAGTCCAAAGGGTGGACAAGAAACTGATGCCAAATATTAACCAAGACATTTCCGTGACTGCGGATGAAGCAGTGGATGAAGGATCTAAGTTTCTGACTGACCAAGATGAGATCATAGTACAAAGATGAGAGCCATACTGATGACTGTGGGAGGAAGAATACCCAATAAGAGAGTGACGTAGAACAGACGCTAACGTCAGTACTGAAGATCAAGGGCATATAGATACCGATATTGGAAGAACATCAGTGATGGTGATCGACTGAGGGCAGAATCTAGATGTTAGAGTGGTAGCTAAGACCGTGTGGAAATCTGTATTCCAAGAACATCAGGGGTGATGTGAGACTGAAGGCAGAATCTAGAGGTTAGTGCAGTAGCTGAAGACCATGTGGAAATCTGTATTCCAAGAACATCAGGGGTGATGTGAGACTGAAGGCAGAATCTAGAGGTTAGTGCAGTAGCTGAAGACCATATGGAAATCTGTATTTCAAGAACATCAGGGGTGATGTGAGACTGAGGGCAGAATCTAGAGGTTAGTGCAGTAGCTGAAGACCATGTGGAAATCTGAATTCCAAGAACATCAGGGGTGATGTGAGACTGAAGGCATAATCTAGAGGTTAGTGCAGTAGCTGAAGACCATATGGAAATCTGTATTCCAAGAACATCAGGGGTGATGTGAGACTGAAGGCAGAATCTAGAGGTTAGTGCAGTAGCTAAAGACCATATGGAAATCTGTATTCAAAGAACATCAGGGTTGATGTGTGGCTGAAGGCAGAATCTAGAATATTGTGAAAGCCTCTGTTGGCTAATGTGTGTGAATGTATCGTTCTGACAAAACTGAATAAGCTTAAAAGAAGAATTTTAACTGAAAGTATTTCAAAAGCTGCTGCAACACCCAGTGTTCAGTAACTGTGACCCGAAAATTTAAAGTCACATCGGCAATATGTCAGCAATAGCATGACTAAAACTAGTTTAAATTCATAATGGTCATCCAGTGATAATAATTGAAACAGAATCTACATGTCCCCACCAATAGCACTACATTCATATTATTATTATTATGTTTTACAGATTAAAGATAGTATGCAGCAGAGAGGGTTCGGGTGATCCTTATTATTATTATTATTTTTATGCTAATATTTGTATAGCGCCAATATCCAGTTCAGCTCAGCTGTTTTCCCTCGACCATTGGATTTCAATCTCAAGCGGCACATTGTATTATCAATCTCAACTCCCTGAGGACCATACAACAAATATACAAATATTAGCCTAATAATAATAATATATTCATACGTGATTGAGAACAGAGGATCCACTTAGTACTTAAGGTGAGGGATTTTTAAGTGAACATATGGTGTTAATAAATGAAAAAGTAAAGAGGTTAGATATTAGTAACTTAAGGTTATTTATACCTGTATCAAAATGATGTCCATCAATGATGTGTGACTGAGAGCAGAAACTAGAAGGCAAAGGTCATTGTGCTGTAAGCTTTTTATTCCTCAATCGTGTGGTAAATTGCTACAATAAGAAAACAGATAATTACTTATATTGCCAAAACATATTACAATCTAAAGTTCTAAACACATGGGCCAAAATACACACGTTTTCCTAGCCACAGTTAGCAGAAAGTGATTTTATGAATGCTTTATTCAGTTTAAAAAGCACATGGCATAAACTCTGAAAAGAGTCTGATAGAAATTCGAACCAAATTTACATTAAATGATAGAAATATGGGTTACAATGTACTGCAAAACACTATCAATCATATTGAGTGTGTACTTACACCATTGGGAACTGGAGTTTGGCATGCAATGCCTTAAAACCAAATTACTAAAAAACATCGCGTGTGCGAGTGATAACAAACTGAAACCTAAAACCAGGATCTTCCGGTGAGATGCGACACAGAAGATTGCGCAGTGCATACCACTAAAATAAATTGTGCAAAACATACTGCAAATACATAAGTGAGTGAATGAGTTTAGTTTTACGCCACACACGGTCAGCAATATTACAGCTATATGGCAGCGGTCTGAAAAACAACAGTCTGGACCCGACAACCCAGTAATCAACAGCATAAGCATTGATCCATGCAACTGGTAACCAATGACATGTGTCAACCCAGCCAGCGAGCCTGACCACCCGATCCCATCAGTCGCCTATACGACAAGCATGGGCTACCGAAAATCAAACCTAACCCTAACACGGGTTACTAAATACAATACATACAAACTTGTCACATGTGACAGAACAGTCATATTTATACAAAAAAGGGCCCGTGGTAATGAGCTGCTGTGAAAAGAAGCTCATGTCAGTAGTGAAGGTGAAGTCCATTTGAGTCCTGAATTGGGAACAGTCTCCTGTGCTGAGACGTGACAAAACAGTATCTAGTGCTGAAATTGAAGCCGTTATTGATACTTGGTATGGGAAGAACATCCAGTAGTAATGAATAACTGAGAGCAAACCTTGGGCAAGATGGTTGACGACGAACCGAAACATTGCCCTAAATCTAAACATGATACTTCCAAGTGAGTAACATGTTACTTCCAAGTAACCGAACCTTCCAGTAGCCACATTCCATGTATATCTCATCAACTTGTAACATCTTCTAGATGTATATTCAACCAAATATATTTTGTAACATAATTTATAATAACTTAAAATGTTGTTTGTACTTTGATATGCCTGCTTTTAAACTATGATAATGATAATCATTTTAGTGAGTGAGTGAGTTTAGGTTTACGCCGCACTCAGCAATATTCCAGCTATATTGCGGCGGTCTGTAAATAATCGAGTCTGAACCAGACAACCCAGTGATCAACAACATGAGCATCGATCTGCGCAATTGGGAACCGATGACATGTGTCAACCAAGCCAGCGACGACAAGCATGGGTTACTGAAGGCCAATTCTAACCCGGACCTTCACGGGTCGTCTCCAACATAGAATTGTAGTCACGTATTTTATAGGCGGTTGACGACCATCCGCAGTAAATCTACGTGTTAATGTAAACCACATCACCGATCGTGACTGTCATCTGGTTTCATATAACTATTCAGAAGCATGGAGACTGCCACCACCATTAGCTAACATTGACAGTGGTGATAATCATTGTTTTGGTGATTTAACACCGGACTCAGCAATATTCTATGTATAGGGCGGCGGGCTGGAAACAATCGACACATGCCATCGTATCCCAATTGCATTCATGCTGCTGCTCGCTGGATTGTCTGGTCCAGACACGAATATTAACAGATGTCAGCCATATAGCTGCAAAACTAACACAAAACCTGGAAATAACCGAGTCTGTGCCAGACAATCCAGTGATCAAAAGCATGAGCATTGGCAGTGGTGACAGGATGTGGGCTAAGTTCAGCAAAATTTCAGGGAAGTATTTTCAGTTGGTATTACTTACTGGGGATAATTGGTTATTGTCATATAACACTTACACATTTAAAACATGCAAGGGATACCAACTTAAATCATTTGCGGGAGAAATAGAGAATCTCCCCTCAGTGTCTTTGAGTGAGTGAGCTAATATTTAACTGACTGAGTTGAGTTTTACGCCGCTTTTAGCAATATTACGGCAATATCACGGCGAGGGACACCAGAAATGGGCTTCACACATTGTACC